GAGAGAGAGAGAGAGAGAGAGAGAGAGAGAGAGAGAGAGAGAGAGAGTAGCTGTGTTTATTTCTTAAATTCAACTGAAATTAACTCCTATGAGTCAGAAGTTTAAACCTGAAAGGCAAAACAATGTGCAAACTTTCTCTCTAGTAATTTTAAATCTTTTTTTTACATTTTTCTAATGTACATTACATTAGAATTTTCTATTGTACATTACATTATCATTTTAGTTACCTTTCTGTTGTTCTGAAGAGACACTATGACCAAGACAACTTATAAAAGGAATCATTTAATTGGGACTTGCATACAGAGCTCTGCTGGTTAGTCCATGATTGTCATGGTGGGGAAGCTTGGTGGCACACAGGTGGACAGGCATGGAGTTGGAGCAGATGCCAAAGCCTTGATCTTGCCTACAAGCTGCAGACACCAAGAGAGACTGGGTGTGGCTTGAACTTTTGAAACCTCAAAGCCCTTCTCCAACAAGGTCACATCTAATCCTTCACAAACAGTTCCACCAATTAGGGACAAACATTCAAACATAAGATCTTGGTGGGGGGCATTCTCATTCATTCGAAGTACCCTTGTTAGCCTTACAGTCCCTACTGCCTTTAGGTGAAAGGAGGTGGGAATTGGTGAGATTCATGTGTCTTCTGTTAAAAATTGAGTGATGATGTGTGTTGTTTCAGAGTCCTAAATGGTTTCCGTTGTCTTGGAATGGGTTTCAGTTATTTAGTGCCTTCCTGTCTTCCTCCTGTCACACTTTTGGGGACTGGGAAAGGCAAAGGTACCAAGGACAGATGTGGCAATGTGTTCCATGCTCTTCCTGAAACCTAATTTAAGTCTGATAACTGAAGTCCTGGACTTAACAGCCGTGGCTCTGTACTTTGAATAGGCGGCAAAAGGATGTGGCCGTGGTTTCCTTCTAATGCTCTGGGCTCAGACACTGAAGTTGCCTGTCCAGGTTTTTAATAAGGAAAGTAAACTGCAAGGGCCAGTGCCTACTCAAATACTGTAAATGCACAGTGCATCTTGTAAAAAAAGAAAAGAAAAAAGAAAAAAAGACGTGCCGACCTAAAATCTAACAGGGGAAGAAGCAAGGGAATTTAGAAAGGGTAATGCTTAACCAGAATTGCTTTCAAAAGTTGGCTAAAAAAAAAATTGATTTGTCAGGCATGGTTCTCATTATGTTCAATTTGAGATTGTACCTATCTGCATGTGTGAAGATGTGTTCTTTGTGATGTGCTTGTTGCCCGTAGGATGCTTGGGATCCTTTTGGTTGCTTCCTTGTGTTGTATTTTCAACTTTTCCATAGAGCATACACAGTACTTACAGACTCAAAAGCTAGTGATATTTGGGGCACACGTGTTTCACATTGGTCGCCCTGACAGTTGGCTTGACTTTTGTCTTGCAGGCACACCAGAGGCCAGCATCCTGGCCGAGTGTGGGAGCTGCGTACTGCAGTACGGTTGTGCCCTCTGATGGTGAGTTTTGGCAAATCCCTTTTTATGTCTTACTTTCTTTCCCTCCTTAGCTTGGTATTTCCAGATTTTTTTAAGTCAATACATAAACTTATTTTTAAATATGAATTATATTTATTTATTTTGGGGAAGGGTATGTGCTTGACATGTGCATTTGGGGGTCAGAGGACAATTTGAGGGGGTCAGTTCCATTCTTCCGTCGTGTACGTTCTAAGAATTGACCTGAGATCTTCTGCTTTGGCAGCAGGTACCTTTACCTGCTGGGCCATCTCTCCAGCCCAGCTAATTGATGTATAACCCATGTCCCATTTGTGATTCTGTCGGAGATCAGGGGAAAGGGATGATTCCAGAAGGAGTGTGGAACTGGGGTGAGGGTCTAGTGAGTTTAGGTTAACCACGAAACCTAGCCTGTCCATCATGTCTTCGTAGGTCCTTGGTGTTATTTCTCATTAGAAACAGGGACCATGAGGAATGCCTGTTGGTATTTCCTAGCTACCAGGTTTTCATATCCTGGATACCGATCAAATGTTGCCGCCCCTTCACGACATTACAGGCAGTTCCATGTCTGTGCCCTCTCTCCTTATCTCTTCTCTCAAGCTCAGGTGCCCCCCCTTTTTTAAAAATCATTTTATTTTATTTTCTGTGTATGAGTATTTTGCTTGTATGTATATCTGTGTACTACCTGTATGATCCATAGGGATCATAGAGAGGGTATTGGATCCCCTGGAACTGGAGTTATGAACAGTAATGAGCCTCCATGTGAATGCTGGGAATCAAACCCAGGTCCTCTGTGAAAACAGTGATCTTAATCACTGAGCTACCTCTTCAGCCCCTCGGGCCCTTGTTTAGCATGGGAGGGTTAGCAGATGCTTGGTGATCACACACAATCCTTGGTAAATGTCCACAATGCTACGGATGGTAAATAGGACTGAAAATTTGCTTATTTTTATGGTTGTGTGTTTCTAACTTTCACTACCATTTCTACCATGAATATCAGTTTACAGTGCTTGGCTTAGGGGTTGACTTTTAAATGTTTTTGTGTACTCCCTAGTTTGATCTTGCTCTAAATTCAACTTATAAGCCTTGGTTCACAGACAGTATGTACTAAAAGAACATCTTATGAATTCACAAGGATGCCAAAACTGAAGAAACCCAAAATGAATCATGTGATCCCTGGGGTCCCCTGTATGTCATTGGTATGAGTGTCACGGCGTAACCAGGATCCTTCCCCCAGTGCCTTTTGGTAATCTGAATGCATAAGCTCATTGCATTCAGATCAATGCAATCGTTACCTAAATGTAATTCCTCAGCCTCTGCAGGAGACCCTTTGGCGGTCACTCATTTATAGAACAGAGACATTGACTGGAAAATTAGACTGAAAGCAAAACAAGAGAAATTCTACCTGGTATCTTGTTGTTCGTGTGTCCTGAAGACAAACAGGGGGACAGGGCTGTGCCCCCAGTCAAGGCTTAGTACCAGTGTGCACCAGATTCCAGAGCTTGTCACGTGGCCAAGAGCCAGAGGTCCCTAATACCTCTTGCTCCCTTCTCTCCAAGAGCCCCTGTAATTTACTATCAAATTCATGGCCTCTTTAATTGTGATTGTTACACACACACACACACACACACACCCTACTGAGTCCATTGAGTGTGGCTTATATGTACATGTGTTAAGGGCTGACCACCTGGGGTTCGACAGCCCATTAAGGAAGCTTGTCCCTGGAGAAAATCGATTCTCTCAGCAGCCTTTAGGTACCCATAGCTCTTCATCCTAGCCCTGGGGCCTGTGAACTTTCTCCTGTCCATGTTGGTGTGTCACCTGGTGTTCTAACTATGTAGGACTTGGTTAGGTAGTCATATTGTTGAGATTTCATGGATGCAGCTTCCTTGCCATGTCTAGAAAACCCTGTCTAGCAGCAGCTAGAGCAGGGAAGTGGCATTTATGTTCTTACTATCAAGAGTTCCATATACGTCAAGGTTCTCTGAAAGAACAGAATGGATAGATTGCATTTTTGTATATATTAAAAGGCTTTATTTATTAGAGCAGCTTTCAGGCTGTGGTTCAGCTAGTCCAACAATGTCTGTCTCCTGAAGAAAAGTCCAAGAATCCAGTAGTTGTTCAGTCCATGAGGCTGAGTGTCTCAGCTGGCCTTTATCTACGTTGGAATCCTGAAGAAGTAGGTTCTGAGACAAAAGAATGCCTGAGTAATGGCACAGATGAACTTCAGCAAGAATGAGGACAAGCAGGCAAGAAAAGGTTCCTTCTTCCATGTCCTTTTGTATGGGCTGCCACCTGAAGGTGTGCCCCAGATTTCAGGTGGGTCTTCAGATGTCAAGAGCATCTCTCATAGGCATGCCTAGATGCTTGGGTTACAGTTGATCCCAGATGCAGTCAACAACCAAAATTAGTTATTTCTCTCTCTCTCTCTCTCTCTCTCTCTCTCTCTCTCTCCCATCAGCCTCCTGAGTATGAGGAATATAGGATTATAGCCACCACACCTACCTCATGTCATTTCTAAAAATGGTTGAAAAGAGAAAGATTCTTGAGTTGACTGATGCTGTTAGGAACCACTCATGCTCAGCTGGAGTTCTCTATTGCCATTATTTTATCAAATACATATGTCACATATTGAGTATTGAGGGCCTTTTGGGGTCTAGCCCCAAAGTCCTCTTCAGGGTTCAGAATGGATGCTACAGCAAGCAAAAGAAATTTTTTTCTTAGGGTATCTGAGGGTGAATGAATTCTCTCACACCATGCTGTTCCAAACAAGTCTCTTTTTTCTTCTGCCTCTATTCTAATTCTCCTGTCCTACTTCTAATTCCTTCTAGCTTCCTCTCTTCTAGCCTAAAAACACTGTCCTTACAGGAGGCTTGAAGCAAAGAAAAAGTTGCAGGAGTTACTTCTCATTGGTCAAAAGCACATTCCTAAGAGTAAGGAGTTGAGCCATTTACTATTTCAACACAAGGCTCCTGACAAAGTTTGAGACATAGTTCTATCGTGAGCAGACTGGCAAGTGAAGAATTAGCATGCTTTTCTTAGTGCTTGTGTTGCACAGGTTGGATACCTGAGACCCTGACCTTGTACATAGCTGTAAAGTTTTAAACTATGATCTATTTACAAAAAGCCTTTAGTCTATTTTGAACTTGTTCTGAGGTAAAAATGAGCTAATTGTGTGCAGTTAGTCTGAGGAAAAGGGGCAAGCCAGGCTTTTAAGTGTCTACAGTCCTTTTGGAACAAATAGATCTAGATTCATAACAAGATCTATTTATGAATCATGTCTTTGTATATGTTCTATATACCAAAATTATACAGCTAAATGAAAAGTCATCTTCCTGACCACCCACAGGTATATGTGCCCATAAGACTGAGATGCAGTCTTGAGATTGCATATTCACATCACATGAGATTATACACTGCAACGCAGGTATTAGGGAGACACCAAGCTGCTTTAGCAAATGTAAGTAAACAACAGTCTCCAGAGCCGATGGTCCTGCAGGCCTTGCCTAGACAGGATTAACCTCCATCAGAGAGTCACTCCTCTCTGGTGGTTTGACATCTCAACATAAGTTGTCACCTTCTGTACCTCTCACAGCCTCAGATAATTAAGTACAGATATCACATATTGAGTACACATGTCACATATTGAGTACATGTATCATATATCAAGTACATATACCACATGTTGAGTATATATGTCACATATCAACTACATGTACCACATACTAAGTACATATATCACACCAAGGACAGATGTTACGTATTGAATACACATCTTCTATTTTAACATTAAAAAGAGGTGTGGCCATCGAAAGGGAATGACAATAAGGAGGCTGCTAATCATGAAAGTGACAGACTACAGAGCCTCTGGCTTTAACCTGACCAGGAACTCACTTCCTAAATGAATGTCGTGAAAACAAAGTGCTTTATATTTTTCTATTTAAAAGATGTGTCTGACAATTTGGACTTTTTTCATAAACTGGGTTTCAGTTTGAATCCTTACTCAGTTGTGAAGTTGGACTTATTCCACCACAGAGCCCCTTTCTTGAAGGACTTGGTAAGCCTGGACTTTCACATTGCTGAGGACGCCCATGTCACAGCCTTATGTGCTGACAGTGTGTGCGGTGCTTAGCTCGGAGGAGAAGCAAACCTGCCAGATTTCAGGTGATGGCATCCATTCCAGGACTGCATAATTTTCAATATTTTGAGGGAATTAGAAACTCTCATTTCTCTCCCAAATGCAGCTTGATGAAATAACTGCTCTAAGCAGTTAGTTCCTGGTTTTTCTGTTGATACCCATGCTGAGTCAAGAAAAAAAAAAAAGATTTCCTAAATATGTGTGTCTGGTAGAAGCTGGAAGGGCTTTCTTTCACTGTGAATGGCTACCAAGAAACATTCCGTTTCTTGCTAAAAGAACCACTAGGGAGGGAAAAGACTTTTTTTTTTTTTTTTTTAAATGTAAGGGAGATCTTGGTACTCGGCACAGATGGTACATTCTCCATACTTTGCAGCACAAATACTTAGCTTGCTGGGCAGAAAGCCACCCTGCCCATTGCAATGGCGTATGCTTCATTCCTTTGCTTCATGCTGGCTCTGAAGTCTTCTAACAGGTCAAAATGAAGTCTGGCTTCCTTGCACAGGTGTCCATGTCATGAGAACAAGGTTTTTGTTTTGTTTTGTTATCCACAAAGAGGATCAAAATATAAATTTCTTTTCTGAGGCTTTGGCTGGTGATTCATATTTAGGAGGAGAGGGATGAATACAGGAATTACTTACTCATGGATGGACTAACCCGGGAATATTTGGGACTCTGTGATAAGTGTGATCTTCTTGTTTGACTTCACAACCATTGTTCCTGGTTTGCTGTGTAGCTAAGTTGTCTCCAAGTTAGGTAATGAGACAAGGAGGAGTGTGGAGGAAGTATCTCTGTAGAGCATCATGGGAGAAAAGTCTGCCAGTTTGTCTGCAGGAGCCCGGAAAAACCACAGAGCTCTGAGGATCACCTC